TAAATGAAGTTTATTATTTTCTGTTCCGCAGGAATTAAGAGACATCATCCATAACTTAGAACTACTCACAGCCCTCTTCCAGCACTCTACAGCCCTTACCTAAACCACAAAACTAAATGGATTCCAGGATTTGTACCTCATTTGCTCGCCTTATGGCCTCAGCTCTCTGCGTATCCACCCTCCTCGTCACCGCCATGCCCTTCGACCTTCGGCGGGGGTCATCAGACACAGACCTTGACCTCCAGGGTCACGTAGATCTCGGTCTGGATGACTTGGACAAGCTGCGACTGATATTTCCGCCTGGTTTAATCGAAGAAGCCTTTTCGCAGGCTCAGGGAAAAGTAGACATGCCTCTTCCACGACAGAGAACATCTTCCAGTAAGTAATAATTATACGGATAATCAATAGAATTTAATTAATTTGTATAGCACAAATTTCCAGCTCAATAGCAAGCTCTGTGGGTTTTGAACCAATGATTATTATTACCCTAGCAGACCTGAAAGCATTTTGAAAAAAAAAACAATCTGAGCCTCAGCTTTCTGTGAAGCTTACAATTTGGTGTCAATTCAGGTAACGTGTGTGTTTGTTTGATGGCCAAATATTGGTATTTTAAGAATTGTTTTGATAAGAGGCAACAAAAAAAAAAAGGGGGGGGGGGGTATTTTTCTATTTACGAGACATGGTACTAACACTTACTTTGTTCATAGAAGACAAGTACTGTTGCCTGGTTTCTTCACTACTACTTAGAAAGACTACTTATTATACGTTCAAGATAAAGTGTGGAGTTGCACCGACACACATGTAAATGCCCATAGAAAATTGTGTCCTTGAGTGCCAAGAAACATGTATAGCACAGTGACTATCAATTGATATCCTCTTTGAGATGTATGTCACCGGCGTCTGTGGTGTAGCTGCTAGGGGCTAAGCCGTCTCATGTAGAAGATCTCCTTTCGATTCCCGTGTGGGGAGATATGTCTATCGAGTATCTCCATAATTCTGCTAGGACGTTGTATCCCTCTCAGTACAGGTTGATTGTGACAGGCAGGGTCAAAGCTCGCCTCTTAAATCATATAAACTGAGTAGATGGGGGCGTAAAATACCTACATCAAATAAAAGGTGTATAACGCCTACATTTTTAAAACAGCCCTTCAGCTGGTATTTCCCAGAAAACTGTCGCAAACAAAAAATTAATAGAGAATTAATTGTGATAGTGCCTATTCGTGCGTCCTTTGCGGTCAAAGACTAGCACGACAGCAAAATGCAATCCATAATTTCCAAGACGGCCTCTAGATCTAATTGCCGCGGAGAAAAGTGTTTTGTGTTAGACAATTGGAACTCTAGATAGAAAGTCTCATTATAATATACCCAAAAAAAGAACCCACAAAAAACCGACGGAAAATAATAGAAGGCTGTGTATACGGGTGATTGTCTAAGGCAGGTGGCCGTTAATGCAGGTTCGACTCCCTTGTCGTGAGTCAGTGTTGTATTATAGTTCTTGGGTTCAACGTTTCTTTCAATATTTTAAGGTTGTTAAAGAAGGGGAAAGGTGAGAGTAATTTCCATCTCCGATAGCACATGCGTCGGGACACATAGACGCGCTGGAATCAGGCGCCCGTCAAATTTTGGGGATGTCGAGTTAATGGTATAACTTTATACTTGTTCATTTATCTTGCGTTCGATGAACAAAATACCCATCTATCTTGAATAGAAGTCGAGTTATTTCCGATTGAAGACTGTTGGGTTCACCTGGTTAAAGATGTAAAAATATCGAGAAAATGACCGCCAAAATTTGTATCTCGCATAGCCATCGTTCTTTCGGAAAAGTATGACAATCTACATATTTTCATGTGCCTTTAATCAATGTTTTTTTCTGGAAAATCCACACAGAAATATGTTTTAGAATAGACATGAAAGGGTTGACCCCCCCCCCTTTTTCAAATAAAAATATTTAAAAAATCAATAAAATTTACGGAACGTGGCAAGGGTGGAGGGGGGGGGGGCACTCCCTTTTCTTCGATTTCATTACTTTGACGAGCGCCTGATTTCGCCGCATATCGTGGTTCATCATGATCCCACCCTTGCTAGCGACGCTCTCGCGCGTGCCTATTCTGTTTGGTGTTCATATTGCTCTCTTAGCTTTTCAAGGTGTTACTCATAGGCTTTGGGGGTTGTGTGAAACAAGGGGATAGGGGAAACTTGTGTGTGACCACTGGGAAGCTATCTTGTCAGCACTTGGCACTTACCATTATTTATTTATACAAACGTCTGGGTCAACTGTCACTCGGTGCTCCCTGCAAACAGCTGGGCGGACTGAGAAGAACTTCGTTTGTGTCCTACGGGATCAAACTGGAACGTGATGATGATGATGTTGATGATGATGATGATGATGATAATGATGATGATGATGATGATGATGATGATGATGATGATGATGATGATGATGATGATGATGATGATGATGATGATCATCATCATTATTTTTTATCATTATCACTTGTTTTGGTCTTTGTGGATTAGAGAGCAAGTCTACTTTTTACCTGAGATAAGACACAAAATGTGACATTACGTCCACTAGACAGACCTAGAGGCTGAGGTCAACATTAATACAAACAGAAAAGTAAGGAGCGTTATAAATGGATATTGGTGCCCGTCTAGGGTGAGTGAGGGAGTTTGTTGGTGGAGTGGTAGGTTGGCGGGTGAGGAGGAAGTAGACAGAGATGTGTCCTTGAATCTCGTCTATTTCTGTTATTTGACGGTGGTCAGAAAGTATTAGAATCCATAACTGTTTTTTTAACGTACTGGAAAGATATGGGACACTGAAAGTAAGTAGCTATATGTCATGTTGCTCCCACATTCATGATGATTAGATCTATTTAAAGGCAGGCTGCTTTACTGCATCCTAACTGAAATATTTTCTTTACATAAGAATCGAACTCATGTTTTTGTGTGTATTGCGTGCGACCTATTACAACACAGCAGACTCTGACGAGGTGCACACTTTTTGTTTGAAGACCTTAGAACAGGACTCTACGTAAATCAGTTTTTGCCCAACTGAGATAATCAAACACGGCTTAAAACAAGGACACAAGTCTGTATTTGCTCGCGACACTGTTAATGGTAGAGTGCTATGTGCACTATCAAAGCATGCGGGAAAGTCCCTTTTATTTATAGATACCAAGAACTCAATTTTTGCCATTTTTGGAGTAAGACAGTTTTATTCTCAGGTCTTCAATTATTTCCCACTATATCTAAACAATCTTGTTATTACAAGTAAAATTCTGCCTTGGAACAAGGGGTCACCGTGAATGTACAAGAGTAGCTCACTCCAGTAAGAGATTGCTCATCAATCATTATGTAGATTTAACTTCCCTTAAGCACCGGCTTACTGCGGCTACGGCGAATTTTCAATAGAGCTTGAGAGCAAAGGAAATGCCTAGAAGACAAGCAGTAATCCCCAGTGGTCCCATTATGGAAAAAGAAAGGAACTGCACAACGTACAGAGGAATCTCTTTATTAAGTCTCGCAGGGAAAATGTACGCAAAGGTACCAGAACAGCGGATAAGACCTATTGTAGAGAGAAGTCTGACAAAAGCTTAGTTTGGAATTCGAAAGGGAAGAGGATGAACGGATGCAGTATTCGCAATAAGACAGATATGTCAGAAAACAATCGAAGACAACAACAAATCCAACATCGTCTTTATAGACCAGGAGAAGGCTTTTGACATTGTAAAACATGTAAAACTCTGGAAGACTCTCGAAATGTGTGGTATCAGAGGACAAATGTTAGATAATGTCAGAGCTCTATAGACCAACAACAGAAGCTCAGTAAGACGAAGGAAGGCAATACAGACTGGTTCAAAGGAAGATCTGAAGGATGACAGAGATGCGTTCTCTCTCCCCTCCCGTTTATAATATAACTGGACACAATAATACAAGGCCCAAACAAAAGCCCAGGAAGCCTAAATGAACTTCTACTCGCAGACGACCAATGTCTTATTCATCCAAACCAACCAGGCCTCCAAAATCACACTACCGAACTGAACAACAGCTGCTAGAAATTTAACATAAAAATAAGCACATCAAAAACCGAAGTTATGGGAGTGAGCCGAAACTGAACATCTATGTCAATAGTAGACAACTGAAACACGTGAAGAAGTTTAAATATCTTTGTCTTATTTTTCCTGAAAACGGGTCCGTAGACAGAGAAATAGAAATGCGAACTCAAAAAAGCCAACGCTGTCACCTACCAGCTCACACCCCTCTTATTCCATAAAAACATCTCAATGGACACAAAGTTACAGCTTATCACCTCAATATTCATACCAACTTTATGCTACCTGTGCCACACCTGGACATTAAGTAAAACCAGTGAAAGAAAAATCATGCGAAATTAAATGTCTCCGCAAAACCCTTAACATCAAAAGACGAGACAGGCAGAGAAATGAAGAAGTAAGAGCAGCTATCGAGTCCTCCCTGCATTACATAGAGAGACCGAGAATAAAATGGTTTTGCCACTTGTTACGTATGGCACCTGGCCAGCCAGCCTTGAGAGCCTACAACACCAAGCACTCAGGCTATACAGGAAGAGGAAGGCCACGCAAAAGTGGATCGAGGGTGTCAAGGAAACCCTGAGAAAACATAATATCACTACCGAAATAGCTGCGAAGTTGGCCTAGCATTGAAAACTGCATCTTCCCTCGACGCTTAACGGCAACAGAGGATGAACATGTAAAACGTAAAGTAAAGTAACTACTTCCGTTTGAACACTGTTAAGTTAATTAAGAGGCACGACCTCCAAATTTCCAATAAAACCCAACAAATGGGTAGAGAGACTAAAAAACTCACCAAAACAACCCAAATTCAAAGACATCGTGATGGAGATTCAAACAGGGCTATCCAGTCCGTAGTCCAGCATAATATTATTTAGCAAGATATGCCTTTGTTATAATAATAAATAGCATTTTAATAGCACATATCCCCACCGCTCGACAGCAAGATCTATGCGCTTTACACCATATCATTACACCATCCAGAACACTAAGAAATTGAGCTTGCCGTGCACCCACTCGAGGGAATAGAGACGACAGAAAAATGAACGCGGATGAAACATAAAGGTAAAAGTCTCTTGGGAGGAGCGACGTTTTTGGTGTAGCAGTTAGGCGCTCCGCTGTCGCAATCGGAAGACCTTAGATCGATTACCGTGTGGAGAGAGGTTTTATCAAGTGTCTCTGTCATTCTGCTGCAACTTTGCCTCCCTCTCAGCCAAGGTTGACCCTGACATACAGGGTTAAAACGTACGTCCTAAATTATCCAAATTGGGGAAATGGAAGCGTGAAAACATCTACATGTACATAGCGTAGCCATTTTTTGTTACTTGTTAAATTCCACCCTGGAACAAAAAAGGTGGACAACAGATCCCAATCAAGGGAGTAGAAAAGATAGAGAAAAGCTTTAAAAAAGGACAAGTAAGATTCACAAAGATTAAGGCATCATGAGTGCATACTATTAATCTAGAAGGAAATATCACCCATAGTATATGATCGGTTGCATTTACATGTACTGCTGGAAAGAAATAGATCTGGATATTAAAATCAACCTCAGAGCGGTCAGGGAGAAGAAAGGGGGGAAGGGTATGAACTTTTCAAGAGTGTAACAAGGTATATTATTGAGAACTGCGTTGGCGTCCCGTTACCCCAGTTGGTATCATGGTAGACAAGGGATGAACGGCCCTGGTTTGGATTCCACCCGGCTTTCGTGAACTCAGATCGTTTTCTCTTGAGTTTTCCGGGATTTGGCCCCAATTGGCTTTGTCCTTTCGGAGACGGACGTTAACAAAATTGGAAGTCTCTTCTCTTAAAATATAACCTTATGATAGTGTTGATATAGGTTGAACCCATACTAAAAAACAGCGGTGTTAATTAAAGACGATCTCAAAAGCCAGTTATTGTATTAAGGAGGCAGATTCAGGTGACGTCATCAGTCAGTGTCAGAGAACAAGTACAATATATTATCTTTTCATCTTTGACGGTAGGATCCGACGTCATGACATCAATCTCCGTCTGGTCGAGAGGTCAGTGAACTTGTTGAGGAGTGAAACTAGCTAACAAAGTCAATTTGCAGTGTGGGTTTTTTGTTGACTGAGCACAGGAGATGTCATTAATGGAAGACAGTTTGACCGTATCTAAAAAAATCTCAAGGTTTTAGCACCAGCAATGGTTCTTTTTTGTTTTGTTTTAAAGTTGTCTTACGTTATCGGTGTCTGTGATGCAGCGGTTAAGCCGTTGCACTTTGCTGCCTTAGAGTTACAAAGTTTTATCTGGCATTTGTGGCTGTTTTGAGTTACTAAGATCATGAGATCAGAAACCAAATGTTCTATCTTTGTTGTAAAAATCGTAAGATTATTGGGAGTAGTTACCCAGATAATCAAAGAATTGCATTTGAAAATCCTGTCCATGTTGTAAAACTAAAAACGCTTTAAGTCATATTCCTCAAAACAGGATCCTGAACATTGAACTTTGTAATTCTAGGGGAATGATTTAAAGAACGTGATTTCGATATCTTTAGGTGGAGAATCTCCGTCTTTCTGCTGGAACATTTATTAATTCCTCTGAACTCAAGTTGGCCCTGACAGACAGTGCCCTTACCCGCCCCCTGATTGATCTAAATTGTGTGGATTTGGGCATAAAACATTCACATGGTATCAACTTATTACATATATTGAAAGGAGCAACATCCACAAGAAGATGGTCATAGAGTACTGAGGAAAGAATTAGACAGGAGGAAACTGCAGAGTCAGACAAACGGAGTTGGCCTTCCAGAGCCTCTAACCATCCGCTTTTAAAGTGTGTTGATTGATTTGTTTTCTTTGTATGTCTAAATTTTTTTAACGAACTAATTTGTACACCTTTGTCCACGTTTGTGCCCTTAGAAAGCAATTTCCTAAAATAAGAGATAAAATGTTTTTCTTTTCATTTCTTTCTTTTTCTTTAATTATTGAAGAATTTCTCCAAGGTGATTGGCGAGTGCTCTGGGTGGGGTTTCCTCTTTCTTTCCTATCAAACATCAATCGTCCCTATCTCACCCCCTGTTCTTTGTATGTTACTCCCTAGTAATACTCTAATCTTCAGAGATAATTCATGGTCTACATGTATTTGTGTTGCAAGTCCTTACTGAAACCAAACTAAAATAATTACTCTTATGTGTTCCACAGGATCTTCAGAGCGTTGGGCTCCAAAGTCAAAGCGATTTGATTTCGGTAAGTATCGAACACTTGTAGCATTTTATTAGTCTTTTATTGACCTACTTTTAAGCTTTTTTCTCTGCATGAATTTCCATTTTTTCATTCGAATGAGGTGTGAACACAAGGCGTAAAATTCTGACCGCTTTGTCTATGATGGTGTGCACGTGTGCGGTTTGTGGCGTTCAAAGGGCCAAGTGGAGTCACGCATGCTGTGCTTGCAACAATTTCTTTATCTGTGGTGCAGTTTTCACATGCTCGA